CCATTGATATGCAGGCTAATGCAGTTATTAATGCAGTCTAATGCAGTTATTAGAGAGAGAGAGATAGAGAGAGATTAAGTGCGTGTGAATAAGTGCGTCTGTGCGTCTCTCAGCAGCGTTCAGCAGCAGTGTCTATTAATAGCGAATCTTTAAGTTTAACTGCTTCAAGAACCTCGCTACTGAGAAATGTCATGTAGGTTTTCAGCTGCGAAACTATTTTATTGATAAATTCGCGGGGCGGCGTTGACGACAAGTTTCTGTCCGCGTGTGTGCGCGCGCGCGAGTGCGTGTGTGTGCGTTTGTGAGAGAGAACCGGAGAAAGCGTGATTTCCGTACATAAAAAAGGTGGAAGACATGGAAATATTCTGTCGTTTTTTACCCTATTATTTGTTATATTTATTTGCTCAATGTCTTCTGATGTTTTGGTTCTTTTATTGTTATACATATATATATGTATTTTCATATTAACTTACAGTAACTCATTGATTATCTCTGTAGTTAATACTACATTATGATATAGTATAAATTAACAAAGTGTATAAATACTACAGTATACTTCAGTATTACTACAGTTTACTATAGTAAAAACTTAATTTTACTACAGTTACGAACTCACTATAGTTAATACTAGAGTATGCAGTAGTATAAGTTAACAAACTGTAGTAAATACTATAATACACTACAGTGTACTACAATATACTAGTTTACTATAGTAAATACTAGAGTTTATGAACTTATGGTCAGTGCTACAGTATGCTGTAGTATAAGTTAACAAAGTGTAGTAAATACTATAATATACTACAGTATACTATAATTTACTACAGTTTACTATAGTATTTTTTTCATGTGGGATATGATCATTTCTTTTATTTTCTTAAATGTGTGTATATATATAGTATTTATAGAGTTTTAGCTTTTAGTTTTAATTACTTTTTCTTATTTGTAAGTCACTTTGGATAAAAGCGTCTGCTAAATGACTAAAAGTAAAAGTAAAGTAAATATGACCTTTTATGGCACTACCATTTTTTGTTTGTGCACTAGAGGGGGCACGCGCTTATATATTTTGCCTGTGAGAAACATATTCTCAGCTGAATGTTATTTAATAGTGTGTTATAATTAATTTAACAGTACATTTCAATATTTTGTTCAAGTACCCCCTCCGTCACTTCATGTACCCCAGTTTGAGAATCACTGTTTTAGACTATGACAGGACACAAGAGATATTTTATTTAAATACTTTTGATTTTCTTGATGTTTTTGAACAAGTTTCACCCAACATTGCTACCAAATTCAAAGACTTGAGCCCGTTTCACACTGCAAGCTTGAGCGTCACTGTTGCTCAGGGGTTTTAAACTCAGTTCCTGGAGGGCCACAGCCCTGCAGAGTTTAGATTCAACCCTAATTAAACACACCTGATCCAACTAATCAAGTCATTTAGGCTTATTTGAAAACTACATGGTTTGTGTGTTGGAGCAGGGTTGTAGCTGCAGAGTCGTGAGAGTATTCACACTGGAAGCGTTTGTACAGCATCACAGCAGTGGCTCCAAAGCTACATATTTCTTTACAAAGACAGCTATAAATTTGTTCTTAGATGTTGGTCAGCTATAAACTTGACATTTTTAAAGTCTTAAAAGTTTGTTAACATGGGGATTACTGTAGTTAATACTACATTATGATATAGTATAAATTAACAAAGTGTATAAATACTACAGTATACTTCAGTATTACTACAGTTTACTATAGTAAAAACTTAATTTTACTACAGTTACGAACTCACTATAGTTAATACTAGAGTATGCAGTAGTATAAGTTAACAAACTGTAGTAAATACTATAATACACTACAGTGTACTACAATATACTAGTTTACTATAGTAAATACTAGAGTTTATGAACTTATGGTCAGTGCTACAGTATGCTGTAGTATAAGTTAACAAAGTGTAGTAAATACTATAATATACTACAGTATACTATAATTTACTACAGTTTACTATAGTATTTTTTTCATGTGGGATATGATCATTTCTTTTATTTTCTTAAATGTGTGTATATATATAGTATTTATAGAGTTTTAGCTTTTAGTTTTAATTACTTTTTCTTATTTGTAAGTCACTTTGGATAAAAGCGTCTGCTAAATGACTAAAAGTAAAAGTAAAGTAAATATGACCTTTTATGGCACTACCATTTTTTGTTTGTGCACTAGAGGGGGCACGCGCTTATATATTTTGCCTGTGAGAAACATATTCTCAGCTGAATGTTATTTAATAGTGTGTTATAATTAATTTAACAGTACATTTCAATATTTTGTTCAAGTACCCCCTCCGTCACTTCATGTACCCCAGTTTGAGAATCACTGTTTTAGACTATGACAGGACACAAGAGATATTTTATTTAAATACTTTTGATTTTCTTGATGTTTTTGAACAAGTTTCACCCAACATTGCTACCAAATTCAAAGACTTGAGCCCGTTTCACACTGCAAGCTTGAGCGTCACTGTTGCTCAGGGGTTTTAAACTCAGTTCCTGGAGGGCCACAGCCCTGCAGAGTTTAGATTCAACCCTAATTAAACACACCTGATCCAACTAATCAAGTCATTTAGGCTTATTTGAAAACTACATGGTTTGTGTGTTGGAGCAGGGTTGTAGCTGCAGAGTCGTGAGAGTATTCACACTGGAAGCGTTTGTACAGCATCACAGCAGTGGCTCCAAAGCTACATATTTCTTTACAAAGACAGCTATAAATTTGTTCTTAGATGTTGGTCAGCTATAAACTTGACATTTTTAAAGTCTTAAAAGTTTGTTAACATGGGGATTTGCATGTTAACATAGGGACTTGCATGTAAAAGGTAAAACAACAAAAACAGCTACAATAATGTTGTTTCAGTTATACTTCGATATAGAATGTGCTGCTTGTTTGTTTGTTTTTTATAATACACCATACTCTCACCCAAACTGAATACCGTATTGGCCCGAATATAAGACGACCCTGATTATAAGACGACCCCCCTTTTTCCAGATGTACCTTTTGGAAAAAGGCTTTTTAAAAACCAAATCTCGTTTTTTCTCAGTAAAACACATTTTGTCTTCAATTATTTTCATATTGCATATTTTTCCTATTTTAATTTTTGTTTTGAAAGTATGATAAAAACTGGTAAAATGTACCAACAAATCACATTTAAAAAATATACACTTCTTGATATACCATAAAAAAAACAAAAAAAACAGGTAGCCCATCTGAATTAGGACATTTAGGCTATCCATCTAATAGTAGCCTACCAAAATCTTATGAACAGTAGAAGTTAAATCTTACTGTAGTCGTCAAATCTTGGTACTGTCTTACGTTTTAAAATCACAAAGGGAGTTTGGTCCCAGCAGGCTAACCTGACAGGCACGACTCATGCAGCTGTAAGGTTTTCTGCTTCTTTTGTTTTTACTCGCGATCTTTACAACACCATTACATTACGTATTTCATGGCATGATAGTCACTGTGTCAGACTACACGATTTTGACTCCTAAAATCTTGTCGTGTCGTGGACAAGAAACATGTCAGACTACACGTTGCTTCCCGACCATTCATCACGTGCCGTCTTTAACGGCGCGCGTGATGTCATCGAGAAGGCGGAACTAGCGTCTGACTTCTGAAAACAAGAGTGTAAACATTGCTGAAGCGCTTCCGCTATCGTTCGCCAGCATTTTTCTTTCTTTGTTCTGTCGTGGTAGTCCCTCGATGACACATCATACAGGCAGGAGTACTGTTGCCACAGCTCCCCGAA